ACGCTCTTCAAGAGAAATAGTCCCTCCAATAGTTCTAAGAATGAATGACGATTTTGTGCATCTGCCTTTTCCAATGTAAGGAACCATTTCCTATTACAGGCTCTTTACACACAGGAAGAACAGAAGTGCCTTCGCAGCTTCAGGTGTAACTACTCGCAGTATCAAGTCAGACCTCCAAATTTCAATAAACTGCCTGCCTCCTCCTCGTGTCCAAGAAATAGACCTTTTCTGGCTCAAACCTGATCAACCTTCACTTCATGACAAGAGAGTGACCGTTCAATACTTCGATTCTCATCCAGATTCCCCTTGAGTGGGAAAGTGATAGTAAATTTCATATAGAATAAGGGAAGTGAAAGACGCTTAGTTCTGAGCAGTATGATTGTACCACCCTTTAACCAGCTCTTAAAATTGGCTTAGTTTTTAACTCTCAAAGACTTACAGCCCTAAAGCTACAGTAAAAGTCCAGGCCCCAGCAGCTGTTAGGCCCCACACTCTGATGTCGCCCACGTTTCTACATACCCTCTTCAGTTTCGTATTTGCTCTGCAGTACTGTAGGAATCACAGCAAGCTTAAAACCAAAGATTTACTTTCCTGTGCATGTACCAGTACTCTCACTTTCTGCGATGCTGAAGTTTAAGAAGAAACGTTCAGAAACCTAGCAAGACTCTCCAAACACTTTTCGTCCTGAGTTTTCCAACAACTATTCACTTTCTTGTTTGAGTTTTGGTAATATCAGAAAGGAGTTTGCAGTCACAGACTGGAAGAAGCATAAATGAAAGACTACCACTTTTTCCTCACACAGCATACTCCCTAGCTTACCTAAAAGCTTGCAACAGGACTCATTTTTTGTCTAGGGTTTTTTTTTTTTTAAAGTCTGTATGCATGTGTTAGAGGTACAAAATGAAAGCAATTCCTAGCACATCCACATAATTTGTTTTCAGAATGACATATCCAGAAATTACAGAGAAGCAATCAGAGAAAAGTATGTTCCAGAAGCCCACGAGTAGCCTTTACTTTCAAAACATGAAATGCATAACCCATAACTAAAACAAAAAGCTGTTCCAAAGCTTATACTCCTTTCTCTTTAGTCTCTACCCCTGGAACATCAGCATAGGGCAGCAACGACATGTGGTATCTCTACTAGTGGAGTATAAAAACTGAAACAGCA